TCCGCCTCCGCCTCCGCCTCCGCCTCCGCCTCCGCCTCCGCCTCCGCCTCCGCCTCCGCCTCCGCCTCCGCCTCCGCCTCCGCCTCCGCATCCGCCTCCGCCTCCGCCTCCGCCTCCGCCTCCGCCTCCTCCTCCGCCTCCTCCTCCGCTTCTCCTCCTCCTCCTCCTCCTCCTCCTCCTCCTCCTCCTCCTCCTCCTCCTCCTCCTCCTCCTCCTCCTCCTCCTCCTCCTAGAGGGAGGGGCGACTCCGCCACTGTCGCCGAGGGGGGCCAGGGAGGGCCCCCCTGGGCAGCGTGCTCGGGGAGGCAGCGTGGACCTCCGCGCTGGAGGGCGGCCCGCTGGCGGCGGCGTCGCTCCTCGAGGCCCAGGTCTCCGACGCCCCCCCTCGGGACAGGCGAAGAACAGCGACCCGCGGCGAGAAGCTCGCCCCAAGGACGCGTCGAGAGCCCATGCCGCTTGTGCTACGGGTGTTTCCGCAGGTGTCAGCAGGTGTGCAACGAAACGCCTCGGATGTCTGGCGCGGGCGCAGCCCCCTTGCGCAAGGACAGCGCGGTGCGAGCATTACAAGGGGCACGCACCACGCAGAACAGCAAGCCAGGAGGGTCCAGCCGGCACGCGCATGCAGTAAGGGGTCCGTCGGCCCTGCGAGGTCGACACACTCATCGGTTTCGGTCGCGCCGCGCACTGCGAGAGCCGTGGGGAACCAGCACGATAGTGGCTCCCACCGTCCTGAGGTCTCTTCGGGTGAGGAGGCATTTGCTGGTGGGAGGCCCCCGTAAGAACGATAATGCCCGATCAGCGGGCCAGAAAGGCAGAAGAATCTAGACTGAGTCCAAGGCTGAGCCCGTTGATTGAACTGAGTGAGGCGAAAATCGTGTCGGATGCTGCGGCTTTTCGACATCGGCTATACAGCGCCGCTCCAAGGAGTCGCATCCCGTGACACAGGCTCGTGCAGGGCCCCGAAGTCCCAAAAATCCTCCGATCTCCTGCGCGCTCTCGGCCGCTTCTCGGCGCCCCCCAGAGGTCCCCGTGCCACTCCTCGGGGGTCCTCGGGCGCGAGGTTGGGACACCTCGCTTCTGACGTGGCCTGAGATGGTCACAGGGCCTGCCCTGGAGACTCCTGAGGACCTGGGCGCCCCTTGGACCGCCCGAAGAGCCCTGGGGACTGGCCACAACAACCCTGTGCTCGCCATCCCTGAACGAGCTGTCCCCCCGGATCCGGCTGTTTGAGGCGCCCATCTTTGGGCGCGAATTAGCGAGGGCGCAGTACAAGGGGAGGGGGGGGGGGGGCAAAGGTGCCATTTTCGGATCCGAAAAGCCCCTTTCTGGCCCCTAAAGGGCCCCTTCAGGGGCCTCAAAGCGCCCCTTTTCTGCAACGATCGGTGCCCCCAATGTACTGCCCCCCATTCCTTCGGACCCAACTTTTGGGAAACAAAGTCCTCAAAACAACTGCGCAAGAGGTCCTCACGCACTTCCGTTTCTGTGGCAACCGCCTTGCGACTCATCAGCGTCATCTGACTCATCACCCAGACTACAAGCTTCACCAAACTCATTAATATCTTCATCATCATTGTCACCATCATCGTGGGTGGACATCTACAGTCTTCACGCGGGGGCCTGAGGACGCGAAGTCCAACCAAACATGCCAGATCTAACGCAACAGTAGAAGACTTGCCGCTCGAGAAGAGCGGCCTTGAAGGCGGGCTTCAAGTAGAACTTATGCAACGCGCAGAATACGTCATGCGCACAACGTCTGGGCGGCGCAATGTGGCAGAACGCATCACCCAGTGTATCATTGTCGTTGTCGCCGCCGCTCACACCGTTGCTAATCATTGTCGTTGATGCTTCTGGGATGTCTATAAGCATCCATGACACGAGTTCCCCTGAATACGCTTGAGCTTTAACGCGGGCTCCTGCCTGAGGGTCCGCCCGCTGTCGCCCTGGTAGCGTTTGTCGTGCGATGTCTTGGGAACGACATCATTTGGAAAGACTTGCGGCCCAAACTCCGTCTTCGTAATGGACTCCGTTGCCATCGCGTTCACCAGCGCGTCCCATATAACTTACACCTGCAATGTCATGAGGGGCGTCAGAATATAAGGGCCGGGGTCCAGTATCTAAACGGGGGGCGCTTATTAAGGGAATACGAACAGATAGTGGGAAGCGGCGTCTGAATATGAACTTCGATTGCTCCTCTTTGCAATATGAAGCGCTTCCAAGTCGGCCCGAAGGAACCTGAAGATCGCCCCAAGTCTTCCCCCGAGGCCCCCAAGAGAACCCAAGAGGCCCTTAAGATAGCTCCAGAAACAGGCACAAGAGACCTCCAAGGGGCCCCCAAGATGCTTGCGAAAAAACACCAAGAGACCATGATGGTGCCACTTGTCATGCCCCAAGCACTGTGGTGGGATGGGCCGAACGCTGCTGGATAGCAGACAAAACAGCCAAATGCCATTAAACGACAGACGAACTAGATAGCAAGCAAAAACAGTCCGAAATCACGCAGACTTCTTGGGGCGGAAAAGAGGGGGCCCAGCGCCGACCAAAGAGATCCGCACAGCCCTTTGAACAGCTACGCTTGTGCTGCTCCTGCCTTCCGAACAAGAAAAAACACCCCAAGGCGACGAGGACGAGGACGGCGAGGATGACGGCGAGAACCGAGACGAGGGAGGTGTATACCCATACCTGCGATGTCTTACATTATTTTGAGTGCGCGGTCCTGGGAAACTGCGACCCATTCGCCAGGTCCGACTTTTCATCCTGAATCGGTGTTTGACCCCCAGGGCCCGGCGAGGGTCCCGCCCTGATGTTTGTGCGGCGCGACCGCGTCTGGGACATGCCTCGAGCCTCGACCCTCGACAAGCACGAGGACGACGAGGAGAAAAGGGATGACAACGACGAGGAGGACGACAAGGGCGAGGACGATCGCCTACACGAGGAGGGCGACGACGAGGAGGACGACGACGGCGAGTGACCCCAGGCAAGAGTGAACGTTGGTGCGGGGCTTCAGCGGGCCGCATGGGGGGGCCAGATCCACACGTGCCTGCCACTGACGGGGGGACTCCTGTGGGCCCGCACTAACGCACGGGCCACTCTTCTGCTCTTACGCATGGCCGAGACGACGACCACGACCTCAACGACGGCGCCACCAGGACGGGCTGGACGTCGAGGACGAGGACGACGAAGAGGACGACGAGGGAGACGTCGCTGACGGCGCAGCCACCGCCGGCGCCGCTGGCGCGTGCCTTGCGCGGCCAGGAAAGCCTGGAAGCCCTCTAGCGAGGGCCCGCCGCCAGGCGGTGGGGCGGCGCCATGGGGCAGGCCTGGGGCGAGAGGTCTGGACTGCGCACGGGATCGGCCCTACGGCAAGTTGGTATCCATATATATATATATACACATACATAGATGTGTAGATATAAGTGTGTGCGTGTAAATGTAATATACATGCACATGCGTATATTTGTCATATACTGTTTCATGATATGATGATGTATGGTAACGAACGTTACCAGGTCAGGAGCTGCTGCCAGTCTCTGGGCCCATTTCTCTGAGCAGGGCGAGTCGAGACAAAGAGGGCTTAGAATCGGTCCCCCGACCCCCCCCCGGGGTCCGAACGCACCAGCTCCCCGAGCTGCGTCCAGCCATGGCGACGCAGGGGGCCCCAGAAGGCCACCTACGCGGTCTCATCTCGCCCTCCTCCGAATGCGTTTTTACATGACCCGTAACGGTTGTTACCCGGGGGGGGGCAGAACACGGTAACGCTTGGGCAGAGTGAGGCACGTCGGGGCGGGGCGGCGCAGCGATGGCCGTCGCATGCGCGAGATCGCCTGCATGTGGGCGGGGTCCCAGCCCCACCCCCTCAAAAACGATCGTTACTGTTGCCCAGGGGGGGGGAAGGTTTGGCCCGGGTCACGGCCGCGCACCGCCAGAAGATAACAAAACCAATCTCGTGTTGGAACGACCCGGGCGTTTGTCTCTGACACCAACGACTTACTCGTCAACAGGAGTAGCCTGCACATCTGCAAGCATACAGCTCAGACGCATTTTCCAATGCATGCGCGTACATGTGCGTGTATACATCGTGAAACTACACATGCATATGTGTGTATATACAAACATACCAATCGCATCGTTCGGTCTTCGTTGAATGCTTTTCCAGGAGGGACAATAAAACAAATAAGTATTCGGCAACGAATTGATTGCAGTCGGGATCCAGGGGGGGAGGGGGGGGGCACCAGTTTCAAACAAGTTGTGAACCTTGGCTCCAAGGCAGCCCTAGAAGCTCCCAAGAGGCTCCCAGGAGGCAAACACGATTGATTTGCCTTAGTTTGTGCTCGAGATGTTGAAGTTCTCGCCTGCTCGGGTTTCCAACAACCCAAGACGGCCCAAGAAGCCTCCAAGAGGCCTCCAACAGACCCCCAAGACAACCCAACACAACTTCCAAGAAGGCCTGAACTCTGCCCCAGAAGGTCCAAAGATCGTCCAGGGCGGTCCGAAATCCACACATGCCAGAACCTCGAACTCCTGCAAACACCAAAAGGCAATCAATAGTGTTGGCTTCCGCGGGCTCTCCTGGAAGGCCTCTTGGAGCCTCCTGGGCCGTCTTGGGGGCCGCCTGATCTGTCTTGAAGCATTGTTGGGAGCCTCATGGCCTCCAGGCTTGCTTTCATGGCAACGAAAATGACACAACGATTGCCCAAGCCGGCTCAAGGGGCTCCGAAGAAAGCCTCACGACAGATCAAGGAGCCCCGAAGATGGCTCCAAAAGGCCCTCCTGGAGAGCCCGAAGAGGCGAACACACTTGATGTGCCTTAAATGTCGTAAAGTGTTGACGTTCTTGTCGGTTCTGGTATCCAACCGTCCAAGACGGCCAAAGAAGCCTCCAAAAGGCTTCCACTATAACCACAAAGCAACCCAACAAAACCCCCGAGAGGGCCTGAGTCGGTTTCGCTTAAGACTTCCTCACCATTTATGTCCCTGCAGCTTACGATGTGGCAACAGTTTCACATATGGAGGGCGAGTCGTTTTCAAAATGTGGCTCGCGCCTTAACGGCGCGCACATCCGTTTCGTTTTCATGTGCAATGGGTGCACAGATTGAGGGCGGGTCGTTTTCAAAATGCGGCTCTCGCCTTAGCGCCGCGCGCATTCCTTTAAGCAGTTGTAAGGGCTTCACGGGTTGAAGGCGGTTCCTTTTCAAAACGTGGCTCTCGCCTGAGCACCGCGCACATTCATTTCAACAGTTTACAAGAGTTTCACGGATTGAGGGCGGGCCGTCTTCGAAATGCGGCTCTCGCCTTAGCGCCGCGTAAATGCGTTCTAACCATTGCAAGGGCTTCACTGGTTGAGGGCGATTCCTTTGCAAGATGTGGCTCTCGCCTAAGCGTCGCGCACAGTCGTCTTTTAATTTGCAAGGGTGTCAAGGATTTCCATGGTCAGCGTACCAGGAATGGCGTGTTGGATGGATTCGGGATTATGGGGGTGCACCACTTGCGTTGATTCGCGGCGTTGAAGTCCCAAGCATGGCATTCTGGCACAATTCAGGTCCGCCAAGGCGCAACAATCAAGTTGATGCGTGGCGTTGGAATCCCGAGAACCATATTTTTCCCTACCTAGGCTCTGCCTAGAAGGGTTATTACTCTCTAGCTTAAAGGGGCCGGGCAATGGGAAGCGCCCCGGGCGGTTCCCCCAGTCCCCTGGGAGCGGTTCCCCCCAGTCCCCTGGGAGCTTTAGCTTTAGCTTTAGCTTAGCTTTGGCTTAGCTGTAGCTTAGCGTTTCGCTTAGCGTTTCGCTTAGCTTTTCGCTTAGCTTCTCGCTTAGCGTTTAGCTGAGCTTGAGCTTAGCTTTTGCTTAGCTTGAGCTTAGCTTGAGCTTAGCTTAGCTTTAGCTTAGCTTTAGCTTAGCTTTAGCTTAGCTTTAGCTTAGCAATAGCTTAGCTTTAGCTTAGCTGTTGCTCAGCTTTAGCTTAGCTTTAGCTTAGCTTTAGCTTAGCTTTAGCTTAGCTGTGGCTTAGCTTTAGCTTAGCTTTAGCTTAGCGTTACTGTTACTACTAATGCTGCTTTCCTAGGGGTTCCAACTCATAGGTAGGGTCGCACTGGGATAATGGCATGCTTCGGGGTCTTCAAACGGTTATCCTCCAACGAGGCAATTCCCAAAATGGGAATGAACCGTTGTAGGGGCCTGCGAAGAGGAAGCTTGGAGGCATGGTGCATTACAACAGCGTTGATGACTCTTGGGGTTACACTGGTCCTCTTCCTCCTCTTCCTCCTCCTCCACATCCCTACCGCGCGGACGAATGCGAGGTCGGGGTCACGACCCGCCCAAATGCAGTCCACATGTCAGAATTGCGCTGCTCCTACACCCAGCCTCCTTCCTGCCACGCTGCACGGTGGCGGGGTTTGCCGCAGGCAGCTGGATAATACATACAGAGCACACGCAACGCACAAACTATGCACACAATTGACACAGAGATCACACACACACACCACCTACAACACACATAAAACACAAATAACCTACACACACGCAAACACACAACACTCACACATATAGCACACACAACACACAACACGCGCACACACAACACACGTAGCACAAACCTTCCACTTCATACACATATTCTGCAGTACCGCTTGTCATACTAGCACTGGCTCAAGACAAGTTCCAGGAGCTCCAGAGTATCGATCGGCCCTCGTTTCAGGAGCCCTTGCGGAACAACAGGGGATCTTGGAGCATACCATCATCATGACTTCTCCATCCTCTACTGCCTAGACGACCCGAGCTCTAGACCCCATCCGTCTGCTGCATGCTTCAAACCGGATCGGTCAGTGATGGTCCCTGCCTGGGCGCGAAACGTGGCGAAAACGACCAGTGTGAAAGAGATTTGCGCCGCCAGAATCTCAGGGTACAGGTGCACCCCCTGGGACCCGTGCGGAACAACAGGAAATCCTGGAAACCCTTGAATACTGGAACGGTTCATCATCGTGACCCCTTGCTCTTCTAACTGATGGCGGCGTGCATCACGAGCGGCGAACGTGTCCACATCCCCGCCCTCGCGGAGCGCGGCGCGATCCCGCGGATACGCGGTCGCACAAATACGCCCCGCGCGGGGCATCCGCGAACAGAACGCCCCGTATCCGCGGGGTCGCGGCCCAAGGCCGGGCCCCGCAAGGCCGCGGATCCAGTGATGTTTTTCGCCGAGTCCCCGCTGCAAGGCCGGAGGGGCCCGGCCCGCGAGGCCGCAAATACGGATACAGGACGAGAGTGAAGTCATGATAGGATTGGCTCAGAATCCGCTTCAGGGTTTCAAGAGTATCTAGCGATCCTCATCTCTGCACCCTTGGTGGAACGTCAGGACATCCTGGAAACCCCGGAGACCTTGAATCGTATCGTTATGTGCCGGCGCGCACAAGGGGGTAGGAAGAGTGGGTCAGTATTCTTAGACGGAGGCTGCTTCGTAAAGGCGCGCTCCTTCTCTGTGCATGCGAGGGCCGCGTCTTCCAAGAAGCAGCCTCCTTCTAAGTTGCCTTCCCTCCCCCCAACCCCGTCTGCGCGCCGCCGACGATCATTACTTCTTGTTCCTACCAGGATACGCTGTCCGCCCACGAGTGCGTTGAGCAGGGACCGACCGTCCTGGCATTCCTATAGGCCTACCACGAAATTCTCTTGAAGAAAAACAATGTTCGAACAACAAAATCAACGTTCTTAGAACATGAAGCAGAAGCCGTAAAACAGAACGGTCTCAGCCAGAAATGCTCTGAGAACGTTTCGTGCAAACCACAGAAGGTTCTTAGAACATTCTTTGGTGAGAGAGAGAGAGAGAGAGAGAGAGAGAGAGCGAGAGAGAGAGAGAGAGCGCGCGAAGACGGTCCGAGCGGACCAGCCCCACGAGGGCAGCGCGGGGGGGCCAGAGCCCTCGGGAGACGAGCGGCTGGAGGTCGACGAAAAGACAGAACGCAGGAACCGGACAGAGAGGCGCAGGAATCGGAAGATAGAACAGGTGCTGGGAAAGAGCCGGAAAGACAGGCGCAGAGGAGCCGAAAGATAGAGATGGGCTTCGGAGCCGCGTGGGTGGGAGGCCCAAAGGCAAGCCAGGACGCTTCGCCACTGCTTGGGTGCAGCCGCGAGCCCCCGCACACGTCGGCAGAGGGGCCGCGGCCCTCCCCGCGGGCCGCCCGCCTGCCGGCGCCGGCGCCGGCGCCGTGGCCGCGAGCAGGCTGCGGGGGCGGAGCGCGCGGAGCCGCCGCCGAGGCGACGTGCGGTGCGGGAGACCGTCCAGCTTGCCATCGCTCGGACGCCCAGTCACCCCTCTCGGCGGCGAGAGAGGGTTGGGAGGCAACTGCTGGGAAGTTTTCGTCGGAAAGAGTAAGGAGGATTACAGCCCATTTGGAAACTGTTGCGCCGGAGTGGGCCTCGGACTGAGCAGGATTAAGCCGGATTGGGCGGGATTGAGCCGGACTACGCGGGATGAAGCTGGATTAGGCCGGATTTCGGAACAGGGCGAAAACAGAATTGGCCCTCCCAGGAGTTGCATCCGAGCGAGGGGGGGGAAGTGAAAAGGAGAAGGGCTTCCTCAGAAGGCAGCGGGACTCCTCAGAGACTCTCGCGCCCTCTGGGAAATCTACCCCGCGTCTTCGGGGAAGGCTGAGGGAACTTCCCGGACGGCCGGGGAACTTCCAGGCCTTCTGGGAAGGCCCGTCCCAGCTCACTTCCCCCCCCCGCCCCCCCGGCGCGCCGCCGAACCCTGCATGCGTCGGTTTCGTGTTTCTCTTTTGTTGTCCGCAAAATGATCGCAAGTGCTCTTGCAAATGTCGTTCGCCGAGAAAATCGCACACGGTCGAGCGATGCCAAGCCAACACGTCTACATGTACGACCACAAGTCTGGTGATGAGGAGGTTGGGGGTGGGGGGATATAACTAACTGATAGCACATGCGATGGGTGTGACGTTGATGATGCTGGAAACGCGCCCCCTACATAGCGACGTCGCGTGATGACGATGTTGCGCCGCGATGTGGTGTCACTGTCGCCACTGATGTCGATAGCACTCGATCGGTCCCACGATCGACCTCCCAGAATCGACCACACTCGATCGATATCAATATACAACCCACGATCGATATCAATACACATGTTGGATATGTATGGATCACGTACATAACTGTTCCGAATTCACTATCGGTCCGATATCGAAATAATGATCGATATCGCTGACCACTCCCCATCAATATCATTTCCGATATCACGACCGATCTCACAACCAGTGTCATAATCAACTTCACTGCCGACCCCACTTTTGATATTTATCCGTCCCATTCTAGCGATCGCATTGTCACCATCATCATAAATTTCACAATCGATACCAAGGCAAGACACATCCGGCCACCGACCGTTCACCGCCGACGGGACACCACAGGACACCACGGCGGGACACCCAGGGCCATCGCATGCCCAACGGGGGCGGAGGGGCGGTCCACTGCATCCAAATCGCCCTCGCGACAGTGGGGTTACTCCTCCCACGTGCCCACGCAGCTTCGCCTCCTCCGCACGCACGCCACGAACACAAAATTGCACCGAAACCAAATTCCTGGCGGGGGGCTCTGCGTTCCACTGCGATGGCACTTCCGACCTCCGACACAGATGTATAAAATTGTATTTATGTATGCAGGTATGTATGCCTGCATGCATGCATGTATGATTAAGCATGCATGCATGAATGTATGTATGTATGTATGCTTGTACACATTCATGTTTGTAGGTGTGGTTGTGTGTCTGTATGCATGCATGCCCCCATGCATGCATGCATGCATGCATGCATGCATTCAAACATGTATGTGTGTATGCATGTGCACACACACACTGAAAGTTCGCAATTTGTATATATGCATACATTTAGATATATATATATATTTATATATATATATATATATATATATAGATATGTGTGTCCCGTCTGAACGTCGCCTGACCTCTTGCTTGAAGCGCTTCCATGCCATATTTGGGGCCTCCCGCAGTTTCCTCGCGGCCATCCGGGGTCCGTCCTGGCCCCTCTACGCAATCTCGGGGGCCATTTGGAGCTGTTTCGGGGCGGCCTGGAGACCCTGCTGGGCAGACTTGGTGCCCTGTGGGGCCGTCTGGCATTCGACTTCAACGTTGGTGTGTTAATCTAGAAGGGGGTCACGAGACAAACGATGCAACACATGTCCAACCTATGTATGAACGCGCGGATGGGCGATGACGGGTTTCATCCACGCGACGCAATGGAGCGTCGTGGATTCGACCGTTTGGCCTGGACGCGCGCCGCACGCGACGACCCTGATAGCCTTGCTCTTCAACCGTCACTTTTTCTCTGCGGTGTTGCACGGACGCACAAAAACGCTGCCCAAATGAGCGTTACCTGGCGCCCGCCCTGCCCTCGTGCACCATCCCCTCCTCCTCCCCATGCCCCCTCCCCGTTCGCCTCGTCCTCCTGGTGCCCATCCGATTCCCCCCCTTAGCATGCCCTTCCTCCTCCTCGTTATTCTCCTGTCCCCTTCTGCCACTGCGCGGTGCTCCTCCTCGCCATTTTCCGCCAGACACGCCCCCACCCATTTGTGCCCTCGCTTCCCCCCCCCCCGTCTGCGGCCATGCGCGCTTCATCCTACCTCCTTTTGCCCTCCCCCCCCTTCCCTCGTCCTCGCGATGCTGGCACCGATGCTGCAAATCCTCCTGGGCATCCCTGCCCCTCCTCCCCCTTTCATCCCCCAACCCCGTCGCCACACGTTCTATCGCACCTTTCCCCCCCATAGCGCATCATCCCCAGGCACCCGCGCCTTTGATCCTCCCAACCGACGGCCCCCTCCTGGACCAGCAAGAAGATCTGCGGCAACTTCCACCCATGCACCGCTCCAGCCGGCAGCGCGAAGCACGTGCACAGTTGGACACACGAACTGTGTATTTCGCCCGCGTGCAACGCACCCCCGAGGACATGCCGAGAAAAACGCGAAACTTCCCGCTCAGTCACCACCACCCGCAAGGAGCACACTCGAAATACACAGATGGGAGCACGATCTGTGTACACAAATCACACCACGATCTGTGACCCCTCCCCTTGAACCACGGACCCCCCCTCCAACCTGGGACGCTCTTTCCAACCTACGGATCTCCCAATCGATAGCACGATCGATCCCGATGTCGATCACAAGATCGATATCACTACCGATATCCCTTTATGTATCGATCGACCTCAACATCTATCGGTCCCACCATCAATTTCACAACCGACCTCACTATCGATCTCACAGGGCTCCACGGGACACCGCGAGGACCAGTCGATGTATCCCCTGGGAAGTATCGGGTCAACCAGAATAACCAGGTGGCATTTATGTGCCCGCGCGCTCTGGACTTTCGCAGGGAACTCGAAGAACATTCGAGACCATAAATGTTCACAACGGGAAACCACTGTCGATCCCATTATCTATTGACCTCGCTAACTGGATTTCACAATCGATCTCACTTGCGATTTCACGATAGATATTTATAGTGACATTACCGATGCCGCTCTCAGTCCACCTATACATCTGAATGTCGCTCTCATTCTCGACGTCGTTATCGACTCTACGGTCGTTATCGTTGTCGACATCCTGTTGTATATCGATATTGCTGTCGATCGATCTCACCATTTCTTTTCCAATCGCCCTCACTGTCGACCTCGCCATCGATCGACTTCACTATTGATCTCACGATCGATAACATAGCATAGCAAAGCAGAAGACACCCGCGCGCCACGGGACACCACGGGGCACCACAGAACACCCCGTGCCACAAAACGTCATAGCACAACGTAACATAGCATCGGATAACATAGCGTCGCATCGCATCGCGAAACATCAGCATATCATAGGGCACCAAGGGACACCCGAGAGACACCCGAGAGACACCCGAGAGACACCACGGGACACCGCGGGACACTGGCGGGCCACCGCTGGTAGAGTCATTGGATTCAGCACCGCCCCCGCATTGGCGGCATCTCCTCGCCCGCCCGCGCAGCGTCTCCTCACCCGCACGCGCGACGCGAACACGGAACCGAAACCGCGTGCCCGGCGGAGGTCTCCGGTTCGCCTTGATCTCACCCCCCAACCGCCAGCCAACAACTAGTGCTTGTGCCGTGGAAAACCCGAGTCGGCAAGCACAGGCCGCACAAGTGCAAAGGGTGACCTCCATCGCGCCACCAAGCAAGGCTCACCATCGGCACCCCCTCGAGGGGGAAACGGTGGATTTGTTTGAAGATTTTCTGTTTCCTCTGACCATATCTTGATGCGATCGCAGTGCATGATAGCGCGACCTGACAAGCTGGAACGTCGACCTAGCCAATGCAATCTCAAAGTGCCGACGTCCCGGAAGCGGCAAATGCCCGCACCTGGGCGCCTGATCTCGGAGCTGAGTTCCCTCTTCAAATTTCCGGAATTCACCCGCCGCTCGGCCCCCGCCGAGTTCGAACGGCGGGGCTGATGGGGTCTGTTGCACCGCGACGGCAACGGCACTGTCCAGCCAAAGCTTCGACGTCATTCGCCGACGCATCATGAGCTCAACGGGTCAGCGGGGCCGAATCGTGAAAAAAAAAAAAAAAAAAAAAAAAAAAACGCAGAAATGGCAGACGCCCGTGCGACAACCGACGCGCTTAGGAGAAGTACCAAGCACGGGAATAACGAAATGCGGTCGTTTGGGGGCTTACAAAAGCTCTCAGGGCTGCAACAAAGCCGACAGCTGCGCGAGGGCCCCGACGCCACCATTTATGACAGCAACGCGTGGTTGAGTTTGCGGGCGCGCAGTTCGCGGCACGCGCGATGCAAGAGCCAACAACTGCACGCTACCTCCGAGCAAACAGCGCTCGCTGACAACGAACTGCGGGGAGTGTTCCCTGGCCCCGCCAAACACGACGCCATGTTGCTAGATGAAATACAACATATCTGCAGTTTGTTCTGCTTGCAAGCCCATGCATTTATGTTGCGACAGCGTTTTTGCAAGAATGCTCTGCGCATCGATTGACATCTGATCGAAGCGTTTCCCGCGCGCCGGGACTCTGTATACGTATTCGATGCGCACTTGAGTGCCAATTTTCAGAATTTCAACTCGAACTGCCTTAAACTGTTCGGGCATCTGCTGCCCGCCGATGACGGTTCCAAAATGATCAAGGGCACCTTCGGCGCGCAGGTTTTTCTGTAAACTCCGCACCACACG